CTACAGTACCAACACGCGCGCGCGTGCACACACACACACACACACGGGGGGGGGGTGGGTGGCGGGGGGGGGGGAGATGACCCATTGAAGGTTTTTAAGCAGTAAGAAGGGAAGTGGTCTGCTAGAAGAGTTTCAGGAAGCATGCTGGCCAGAGGAGAAAGAGGCTCAGAAGAGCAGACAGAAGCAGGACCCCACCCCTTCCTTGGGGACCCCTTGATAATGTTACATCTTCAAAGAGACTTTCTGGTTTCCACTCCTCTAACATAACCACCCCCAACCCCATTTCCTACTCTTCATTAGTTTAACACTTCTCCACAGTGTGAATTATTTCCCAACATTGCACCTATGGATTTATTATGTTTACATCCTGTTTGTCTTCACTCAGCAGAAACCATGACCTTCACACACATGACCTTAACACCCAGAAGAACATCTGACACACAGGAGAATTTCAATTTTTGCTGAAAAGATAAAAAGAATAACAAAATTTCTCTTTTTAAGAAATGAGAGCCTGGGGCTAGAGCGATGACTCAGTGGTTTGGAGCACTAGTTTACTCTTGCAGAGGACTTAGGTTCGATTCCCCATACTCACAATCACCTATACCTCTAGTTCCAGGGGATCCAACACCCTCTTCTGACCTCCACAGACACCAGGCACACACAGGGTTTACAGACAGACATGTGGGAAAAGAACTCACATCTATAAAATAAAATGTATCTGAGCAAAAGACAGGAAGTAAACAGGAGGTTTAGTGCCAGGCTGCCGTCGTGAAGCTGTGGGCAGAATGGACTTGAGCTTCTCACAGCAGGCACTTAGAGACAGTCTTTCAAAGCTGGCCTAGCCTAGTGTAGCGGGTGGACAGAGCACTGTTCTGAAGAAATATAGCAAAGGATTAGAGGGCTCACCCTCACAAGCTACTCCGTGTGCTTCCGGGTCCATACAGTCCACCTTCCTTCCCCTCCCTTGTGGCTCACAGACTGCATGTGTGGTTCATGGATGATCTGTGAGGTCTGTAGCTCAGAAGAAAATAAAACATTTCACTGAGGGAAAACAAGGCACCTCCCGGCAGAGGAGCTTGCAGGGTGGTGACATTGGCAAGAAAAGAGATTTTACCATCTGCTGCTTCTTTTCCTCTAGTCCTTTAAGCATATAGACTCAATATTTATGTTTGGTACTGAAGGTGTTCACAGAAGCGTATATATTATTATTGTTATTAGAGTTTTTGTAGCTATATAGCTCAGTGGTACCATCTTGAGGGCTGAGTTTAATTAAACTATCAAAAGGGGGAGGAAAAATAAGAAGGAGGAAGAGGGGGAGAATAAGAGAGAACGGGGAAGCAAGTAATGAATGAATAAACAAATAAATTAGAAAAAATAAATATCAAGTAATACTCTACTGTTGCCCAGGTTCACTTACATGGCTTAACCACATTCATTCATTGCTTCACTAGCTCTGTAGACTGGCTGGTTGGTTGGTTGGTTGGTTGGTTGGTTGGTTGGTTGGTTGGTTGGTTGGTTGGTTGGTTGGTGCTACTGGGGATTGAATCCAGAGTCTTGGCAGGCAAGTGTTCTACCACTAAGATCCATCCCCAGTCTGAGCTTAATGACTCACATATGGCCAAGGGGTTGACCTCCGTATTAAAGACATACCAGTTAATAATCCCTGACCTCAAACAGCACTCAGCTGTTGAGTTGGGAAAGGGTAATAGAGATGGACAAACTAACTGATGGCTGTTGAGTTCCACAAGTGCTGGCAGGAACAATTGGTATATTAATAATGCAGTTGACCTAACCCTTAGGATCAAGTTCAAGACTGTGCTTGCTGGCTCTACCATCCTTACCTGGGTGGCTGTGATCCATAAAATGAGAATAAAGAATAAACTGGGGCTGGAGAGATGGCTAAGTGGGTCAGGGCATTTGCCACCAGTCCTGATGGACCAAGTTTAATCCCTGGAACACACTTGGTGGGAAGAGACTGTCCTCTAACCTCCATCCACACTGTAACACACATGCCACCCTGTCCCTGCCACAAAACAAATTAAAATGTAATTGAAAGACGGAAACAAGACCCACTTGCCTCACAAAACTATTATATCACTTGAGAAAGGTGATGTGTGATAGTAAAAGTCTTGAGAACTCCACCGATCCATCCAAATGCACAGTATTAGGGTATTTTCAGTGTCCTGAATGCATGTGAGGTACCAAGTTCACAAGGTCCAGGCTGACTCACTCTGTCCTGTTTTTCTGGGACACATTCTAGGAGGGCCTGTGGCCTCGAGGAATGAAAGGTGGGTACTGAGAGCTAGAACCTGTGAGCAGTCAGTCTGCATAGCTGGCCATCCTGAAATACCACTGACCTCAGGCATCCTGAGACTGGAGGTCACAGCTGGAAGTCAGTAGCTCCCAGGAGTTCTAGAGACCCAGGAATAAGGCTGCCTGGGACCACCGGATATCAATGTAATTTCCCTGTGAGTTCCACCCATTTCTACAGAAATTTAAAGGAAATCCAATGCGAGGTCTGTTAGATATTCACCTTCTCCGAATCTGTGACACGCCCATTGGGGGTGGGTCCAGGGGCAGAAGTGACCTGTGGAACTAGCTCTGACAAAGGCTCTCTTGCTGGCCTGATGTGGAGAGGAGAGCATCCCGTGTTCATCTGTCTAGGTTATAAGTTATTACTCCCTGAATAAACATCTGTTCGTCCTATTTGTTTATCCTGATACTTATTAAACCGTGTTAGAAGTCAGTGCTACACTGAAGCATTTTTGAAACTGAAGATTAGATTTTATCTTATCACACCCACTTTATTAACTTCAAGTCCAATTTTCCTTGGCTCCCGGGTAGAATCTGTTCATTAGTATACTTGCTGATTATTTGCATAGATATATATTACAAAACTAAGTGATAAAGCATCAGCAATCTAATTGGAAGATTGATCATTAGATAAATGATAAGCAGAGAGTTAATTAATGAATAGGTAGTAGATAGCAGGAAGATTGTAAATATATGTGTGTGTGTGTGTGTGTGTGTGTGTATACACAGACACATGCACAGCACATGGATAGATGTAAGCTTGAATGGATAAGTACTAAACAGTTTGGAATTTATTGTCAATTAGTTATAACACAGTCACCTGGAAAGACAGAAACATCTGTGAAGATTTGTCATTATCACTAATAAATGTGAGAGGGCCCAGCCCACCGTGGGTGGATCCATTCCTTAGGCAGGTTGCCCTGGGATAGAGATATGGATATAGATATAGATATATGGTAGGCTAGAGAGCAAGCTGGTAAGCATGGTTCCTCCATAGCCTGTGCTCCAGGTTTCTTTTTTGGCTTCCCTCAATGATGAACTATATAATCTGTAATCTGAAATGAACCTTTTCCCCTCTCACCCCAAGTTGTTTTTGGTCATGGTGTTTATCACAGCAACAGAAAAGCAAAATGGGGCAAGTGCAAACTGAGACAATGCAGATGGAGAAGACCAGTTCATTGAGCACCTCATACATGGGGACTTGGATGTCAGAGACTTTCAGATATGGCACTGCCCTCTGTCACTGAAGAGTTCTCTCAGCAACCCTGAGGATGGGCCTTGCTTACCACATAAGACGCAGCTCCAGAGAGATTAAGCAACTGGCTCAAAGCTGTGCTCTAGCTGGACAGGTTATTTCATCAAAACCCTTGTTCCCAGTTACCACCCCCCTCCCACAATGCCTCCCAGCTCTGAGCTGTCTTTGTGATTCTTGGGCCTGCTTGTGTGAGAACTTCTTAGAAATTCTGAGAATTAGCCCCAAACCATGATCATTCAGGTAGAACTTGAAATCCCTGTTCAGACATTCCTGTTGTGGCCACTGTAAGGTTGGCAGGTGAATGTGGGGTCACTAGGGAGACATGAAAGGACTTTCTCTCAAGCATCCACTCCCTTCCCCCACAAGCGCAGAGATGGTTTTGGAAGCTGGCCAGACTCCAGAGGAGCACTAAGCAACTTGGTCTAGGGCCAGAGTCATTCATGGCACATTGTACCCTAAGATCCTCCCCTCCTGCCCACTTCCTTCTGCTTCCCGATGCTGGTTCCCACTCCCTGTGAACACTCCTCCCTCTCTCTGTTTATCTTACCTCTCAGCTCCAGGTTGGGCAGGGTCTGTAGAGAGGCTTGGCCCAGGGTGGCCTTGACATTGCCAAGAAGGAAGAAGGCACTCTGAACATCCTGCTACAACCTCAGCTCTCCCCATGCCACTCTCTCTGGCTCCTTGCCCTGTCAGGGTACCAGACCAACCTCCAAAGAATTGTCACTTGAGGACAGATCCAAAAGTGATGTCGTTGGCCATTAGCTACAATGTGGAGACTGAGGGAACAGTGTGGAAGCATGAGTATCAGCAAGCTCAGCTGGCCTTGCAAGAGGAAAGCCTCATTTGAACTCTGGAAGTTCCCTAGAGGAAATGGCTGGAGACTTACAGGATGTTGTAAGGACTCAGGAGACAGCAAGCGATGCGGGAGAGCCTCAGAATCGCCCTCACCTCTTCTGAGCCCCACTTCCCCAGTCTTTTGTAGGGTTTGTGTCTTTGCAACTAGACAATTGGGTCATCTCTGCTAACATAGAACTGAGTCCCTGTCGATCCCAAACAAACTCAGTCAGAGCCAGGAATAAGGCTTTCAGAAACGAACCGAGTCAAACAGCAGACGTGAATCTGATGATCCAAATCAAGTGGAATGCTCCCATCCCTTTGCACCGTGTTAGAGGGCTGTCTCTGAAAACAGAGCTCGTCACAGGGGTTGGAGCCACCTGGGGATCTCTCAAGCTGTTTTGGATCTCAGAAGTCTATCTCGGCTGAGGTTTGGGATCATGGCTGAAATGTGGAATCAGAATCAAACCTCTGGTATCCAGTAGTCATCATAGCAAGAGCTGGCTGATTCTCACAAACAGCCCAGGACCAGTCAGAGTTCCACCAAGGGAGGAGCTGGAGGAGTCCCCGCCCACCTATACCTGGTTCAGCAGCTCTTCCTTCTCCAGACAGAGAGCCACTCCACCAGAGAGTGGACACATACCTACGTCCAAGGAGTCAGGGCTGAGATGGAAGGGACCCAAAAGAGTATGCTTTGCATGAGAGTCCTGCCTGGGAGCCTGAAGCACCTGCCATAACAGACCTTCAAGAGCCACCTGGTAAGGGAACCGCTGCAACCTTAAAGGGCAGGAAGGCGATCCAGGCGTGAGCCCTGCTGGGATGGATGAGGGGGGCAGGCCTGGAATTTCCTGAGCCCTAATTCTACCTCAGGTCTTATAGCACAGTGTCATGCTCCCTGTTAGAGTGCAGAAAGTATCAGGAAGGAATAAAATTGCCCAATAGCAAGTCAGGGGCCCAGATTAGAGCTCCCCCTGCCTGGCACTGCAGCTGCCATTGTTTGCCTCTCTGCTGCCAACAGAAACAATGAGTTTCTTGGGGAGGACCCAGAGCACTGTGACCTTTCCTCTACTCAAGCCTGCCTCCCCTTATAGGACAAGGGAACAGTGATGAGTATGAAAGAGGCTAGGTTGTGACACACTCGGTGTTTATGTGATGGGATGGAGGTGGGAATCCCTCATTGGACTCACCTCTGCTTCTCAGAGCCAGTCCAGAAAAAAAGTGCCATTGGCCTCCCGTGTCCTGAGTCTGACCTGTTCTTCCTGAGCAGTGCCAACCAGGTCACACTCAGGGATGGGAGCAAGAGCTCCAGTTTGGCTCTGTTTTCATCCTGGTGACATTACTGAATCCCCAACTGAAGACATAGAACATAGAGGGGAATGGAACGCAGTGTTTATTGTTTGTTCCCTTTTGTCAGGTGAGAAAACTGAGGCCAAGAGATTGACTATGACTAACTTTCATCTAACTCCAAAGCCAGACTCACCTCTACAAATGCAAATGAGATTTTAGCCAGAGAGGTCCAGGTAGCACAAGAGTGCACAGGTTTCCCCAACCCAAGAAACCCCCACCCACTTCTTGGGTGCAACTGCTCAGAATCCCCAGCTGCCCTCTAGTGATCTATGATCACCTCTAAGTGCAGTTCCAATGTCTGTATCCAAGAGGAAGGCCTGAGCCTCCTCCAAGCCGAGTAGACATATAGAGTGACTTAAAGATAGACTCACCAGCTACAAGGGCTAGTGGACCCACTGGACTTTCAGCATTTCATCTCCAAAGTGGGTTTGACATAAGGATCAGAGTCACATGTGACCCATTCAGTCTGATAAACAAGGTACTTTCTTCATCATGGTGGGCCCAAGCGTGTCACACCCGAGCCGCCTTCCAACTCACTACTGTTTTCTTGTGCTCAGTTCTTTTAGTTCTCTGTGTCAGGCTTAAGTGAGGAAAGCCGTTAGTGGTGTGGGCCCTCCCCAAGAAAACCATGATAACAATGTGGTGCCAGATATGACCTTGGTAAAGATCAAGGACTTGAGAGATGCTGGCTCATACAGCGGCCACTTAATTGCAGTATGAGCTAAGCTGAATTCCATCACAAATCTGAGATTCCTCTCCTGAACCAGATATGACTGGGTGACATGTGTGGTGTCCCTCTGCCTTTCATTCTACAATGAAACATGCTTGACCTCTAGCAGAGACAGCAGACAAAATACAGCCACACTCAAAAGCCTGGGATCCCTCAGAGGAGATTCAGAGGCTCATGCTGCAAATATTGTCTTCCTAATATAGGACTCGTCAGACATCCCTGTTTCAAAGTAAGCTTGAAGATAAAGACAAAATGGTTCCCAAATGTACTTGATCAAAGCCAGTTTCTTATAGAAGGCGGGGGGGGGGGGGGGAGAATCTCCCTAAATGAGAACAGGGCCACTTCAGGCCATACTAGGAAAAACCTGCAAATACTAAGGGCTTAGGTAAAAGGCTGAGTCTGACTGGTTTCCAATGGCCATGGGCTAGTCTCCATTTCTTTATCAGCTTCTAGAGGTTGCAGTCTCCAAAGTCCAGCTGGCCAATATATAACACTTTGCCAGAATCAAATGAACATCTGCAATTTCCAACCTAGACCCTGTACCGTCATCCCCTTGTTATGCCAAACATCCTGCTGCCTGGGTTCTTGGTGCAGGGTAGTGACAGACATATGACTTGCACCCCTCCAATGGAGCATGCACCGTTTCTGCTTGCACACCTCTGTCCCCATCAAGCAGGGCCTCTGCTGGCAATGTGTCTGGCTTATAAGAGGGGCTCATTCGACCTTTAAAATGTTAAAGAGATGGAGGGTGTGCAAGCCATTTCCATGGAGCCTCTTAAATTTTATGATGGGGGCATGGAGAGGAATAGTGCGACCAGGGAGAAACACTAAGGAAAGAAAGTATGACTATAGTCACAGAATTTAATAACATTGGTTTTACAGCTGGTATTTTTGATGAGTGAGTGGGTTCCAATGGCCATGAGCAAGTCTCTAGTTCTTTATCAGCCTTTAGAGCTCCTGCCCACAGCCTCTCTCATTCCACTGAGAGAAGGAACAGGATAGAATATATAGAACTTATACATCAACACAGTGCTGACTTTATAATAGTACTTGGTATTCACAAGAAGGACACATGGAGTGCAGATATTTGTACATTCATGGTATGAGCTATCTTGATCTTAAGGGCTGGGGGAGGCAAAGTCACAGAGGCTGACATGGAAAGGTATGGCTGACATAGGGAAGAGAACTTTTCATGTTGCTGTGGTTAAGGGAAGGACTTGGGGGCAGCTACTTACATTCAAGCTCTTACTTTGCTGTGTCACCCTGGGGCTGTCACTTCCTCTCAAAGCCTCAGCTCTCCTTTGTAAATAAGAATAGACTTAATTACTTTAAAGACCTGTGAAGACTGTAGAGGTGTTAGTTAGCTCAGACAAATGAGTGTGAAGTAGTCAATAGATAGCAGCTATTACACTCACATGGGGAAAAGCAATAACAAAAGGACAAAAGAACCCCGCATCTCTTTTTTAATTTTTTAATGAAAAAACATATGTATTTGTAAAAATAGGTGTATGTGGGGGATAAAATCAATTAACAATGGAAACATCTAAGCTATGAGGCTAACAAGAAGAAACAAAAGAGGGACTAAACATTTCCTTTGTTTTGTTGTTTTTTGAGATAGGTCTCTTTAAATCAACTTCATTTTTTTAAAAGCAGTTTTAGGACTATAGTATGATTAAGTCCCCCTACACCTGTACAACTGGCCTGACCCTCAACATCCCGCACCATAGGGACATGTCTGTTCCCATCTATAAATCTACTCTGGGGCTGGAGAGATGGCTCAGTGGTTAAAAGCACTGACTACTCTTCCAGAGAACCTGGGTTATATTTCCAACACCCAATTGCAGCTAACAGCCATCTGTAACTCCAGTTCCAAGATGACTTTACACCTTCTTCTGACATCCATGGGGACTATATGCCCGAAGTACATAGACATACATGCAGACAAAACACCCCTACATATAAGATAAAAATGAATCTCATAAAACAATAAATCTGAACCGGCATATGCTGTAATGCACACTTCTGACTTAATGAACTTCTGTCCATTTCTCTAATAAGCAGATACTGGCTTTGTAAGTAGCATATTATTTAATCAATAAATAATTGGATCTGACCCACAGCTCTAGATTGCTTAGGTCTAGAGAGTGGGAAGGTACCCAGAGTGGGCTACCTGTGAAATGGCCTGAACTTGAGGCCACCACCCTGCCCTGTCACCAGCATAACAGGTCCGAGGCTGCTGTGCTAGCTGCCCCTGCTCTCTGAGAGATGTCTGACTGAGGCTCACACACCCGGGAAGCCAGGCCTCTGGAGCATGCTGTTCAATAGTTCTCTTGTGCACACTGGCACACAGAAGCTGAATGGCTTCAGAGCTCCGTGATTAGGTATGGGAGGTTATGAGGATGGTGAGCTATTTCAGGCCAAAGAAAGCATAAGCTATTGCTGGTCCTGGAGGAAAGGGACAAGGCAGCCAACCCCAGGTTCAAAGTCACCTCTGGCATTCACAGGTATTATATACTTTCCCACAAACCTGTTTTATCATTATAAGATGGAATAAGCCCACCCACTATACATGGGGAAGATTAATAAGAACACAACCTGCTCCAAAGGCCAGGACCCTCAACTAAAAAGGATGATGTCCAGTTTGGTCAGCATGAATGTAGAGCTAGAGGTGTGAGGACAAGGACAAAGTAAGGACAGTCTGGGGACTCCTCAAATATACAGACAAATTTGTACCCTAGACTGGCTACAAGTGCTAGTTATGATAAACCATTGTATAAATAAGGACTCTTCCTATATCTGAGGTGGGTTAAAAATATTAGCTCTCCCGTTCCCTATGGAGGGATAATCTCTCAGCCTAAATACATGGGGGCATACCTAGACCCTGCCCCAGATGATGTGACAGACTTTGATGATCCCCATGGGAGGCCTCACCCTCCCTGGGGAGAAAATGGAGTGTGGGATGGGGGAATTGGTGAGGGGCATGGGAGGACAGGAGGAAGAGGGAACTGGGGTTGGTATGTAAAATAAGATTGTTTTTTATTTAAATTTAAAAAAAAGAATAAGAAAAGAAGCTGGGCAGGCTTTTCATCCCAGCACTGGGGAGACAGAGGTAGGTGGATCTCTGTGAGTTTGAGGCCAGCCTGGTCTACAGAGCGAGTTCCAGAATAGCCAAGACTATACAGAGAAACCCTGTCTCTAAAAACAAACAAACAAATAAACAAAAACTATTAGCTCCCAAGGCTAGGTGGTGGTGGCACATGCCTTTGTTCCTGCACTTAGGAGGTAGAGACAGGCAGATCTCTATGAGTTCAAAGCTAACCTGGTCTACAGAGTTCCAGGGCAGGTTCCAAGGCTACAGAGAAACCCTGTCTCAAATACATATGCTCTCAAATGACAGTGTACCTAGATGACTTGCAAAGAACAGGTGCTATATGAAAAGATGTACAAAGAGGCTGCTCCCGGGGCATGTTAGAACCCATGTTAGGATTTCATGGAGATCCACAAAGACAGCAGGGCTGGAAGCAAGTGACTATTTGGACTGTCCCCCTCACCTTGCTCCATCTGTCTCCCCAGGTGATTCTTTCTTCAACCTCTTTCTCTGTGTGAATAGCTTCTTCAACATGAGCTACAATATCTACTTGGCCTTTGTGTGCCTGAGTCTCCTCGCTCAAAGGTGAGTGGTGCTACCCCAGAGTGGTCCAATGAGAACTGCTCTGGTATGGCCATAATGGAAGGGCTTGCAAACATTTTTCATTTAACTTATTGTAAGCCAAAACCTAGTCTCATTTCCCTGGAACACCAGAACAATAAAATCCCTGTGGTTCATTCTGTTTTAGAGAACAAAAGTTTCTAAACTGGCCACAGACAGATGGACTTGCATTTTCCCATAAGACAATTGGTAAAAGGACGCTGGAAAGAGTGGTTAAGAATGCTACTGTGTAATCATGGGGACCAGAGTCCAGATTCCCACAAAAGCCAGTAAATTTTGGAGCTGCCAAGTGGGGAGGAGATAAGAGTATCTCTGGGGATTTCTGTCTTTCAGCCTAGCCAAGAAAACTTGAGCTCCATGTTCAGGGAGAGAACCTGCCTCAAAGGAATAGAAAGAGAGAGATAGAGGAAGACATCAGATGTGCATGTGCAGGTACACATGCCTGTGCACACACTCATACAACACAAACACACACTCAGTCAATAAAAAGAAAAGATACTTAGAGGGTTGACAGTTTCATCTGTAGCAAGTGGGTGAGAAAATGGAAATGCTAACTCACTAACTAGAAAGTAAGATTTCTCCATAGGAAAGTCACTATGCATGTGTGTGCACGTGCGCACACACACCACATTCACACGCACGTGGGGGTGGGTGTCAGTCAAGTTCATGTTTATCTGCGTTTATCGATATTTGAACAACAAAGCAACAAAAGCAATTCTCCTTTCCAGGACATGCATCCGGGGGAACCAGTTCAATGTGGAGGTCAGCAGAAGTGACAAGCTTTCCTTGCCTGGCTTTGAGAACCTCACTGCAGGATATAACAAATTTCTCAGGCCCAATTTTGGTGGTAGGTTATCCTTTGTGATAAGAACATCAGTTCAAAAGGATGGGTACAGACACAAAGTGTAGCAGAGGGCTTCCGGGGGCTCCAACCCCTGATTGGCAGCTGTTTTAGGAACTGGGAAGGATGGATAAGAACACATGCCGGTGATTTTTCATTCTACCTTAAAGAAAGCACTCTACCTCTCCACTTGCAAGATAAAAGGTTCTCTCCACCACTGTGGTGGGTGCAGGTGCCTCTGGCCACCTCTGCCACACACTCTTCCTTCTCCTTACTTCCATTGTAACTGGTCCAGGAACTCACCATGTCCCATCAGCACTCCTCCATCCAGCCTTCCTGCCTGTAGCCTGCTACCTACAATGGTAACCCCTCATTTCCACCTGACTAACCTCCTGGGTCATTTTCCTGCTCAGAACATTGGCACATGACCCAGCAGCCTAGCCTGAAGCCCAGGCATTCCAGACACTTCTCAGCCCAGCCTCTGTCATTCTCAACCTTCTACAAGTTCCACAATATAGCCAGCAACATCCTTGGCCTCTGGCTTCTGTGCCAATGCAGAGGCTGTTCATCTGCCTTGAGTTACTTCCTCAACTTGCCTCTCTAGGAACATAGTTTTCCATCTAGTCTCAGAGAAAGGCTGCCCTTCTCTGAAAGGCTCTCCCTGACTCCTCCACAGCCCGCCCCCTTCTTTTGAACACACCCCTGAGTTACCACATTTCCTATTATACCATACCTAGTTATGTCCCTGTCTCTCTTACTTCTCTCTTCTGGTGGTAACAGTCTCTAGTCAGATCTAGGACAGCGTGTAGGTCCAGGTCCAGCAGTGGTCAGATGCTGGGTCTGACTGTAAAGACTGAGAATGGAGAGAGAAGCTAGAAGGGCCCTCAGGCCACAAGATGAGGAGAGAAAGTCAAGGAAGTCTAGACAGAGGTATCCTGGACAGAAATACTGATGGAAATGTGTTAGGGAAGGCCACTGGAGAGTTCTGGAGCAAAGCTGCTCAGCAGAGGCCTTTGCCTCTGGGCATCCTGGATCACCCCTGCCTTGTGTGCTGTTAAGTACAAGTCCCTGGGTGACTAACATTGGGTGGCTGACGTCCATGCTATCTACTTATCTGTAGAGCCTTACATCAGGCTGCTGACAGGTTCCTGAGTGCAGACACCAGGGCCCTCAGGCTAAATCAACAGCTCAGCTGGAGATCTGGGCAATGTCTGGTCCCAGTTAGGATCTGTTCTTTATGTTGAGGCCTTAGCAAGTCATCACATGCCCTGGGTTCCTGGGCTTTACTACACACTAGCAATAAACACATGAGTCTAAAGAGCTTGCTTAGATCAATTTCTCTTACCTCCCAAACCTTAAACAACTAAGTCAGCACATCACTCTTCAGGTTTGCACAGTGACTGGCCAAGCAGAAGCAGGCATGTTGGCCAAGTAGGTCATTCTGAGAACAGAGCACCTAGTGTGGGCTTAAGAGAGCATGAGGCCCAGTCCCACCTCACTTAAAAGGTGAGGAATAACAGCACCATGCCAGGTGACTTTGTGAACTCCATCTCCTAAAGGAACCTGTCCTGTGCTGGTCCCCCTCCCCCACCCCATGGGTCAATGGATGTGACCTTGCTTCCTGTCACATTTGTGCACCAGCTTCTTGGCCACCAAGGTCCTTGAAAGACAAAAACCTCCATAGTATTTTCCAGGGACTAAGCCTGGTAAAGCAAAGGTTTTCAAGTGGGCACTACACACACTGCCCAGGATGTCTACCTGTTTCCTAGGAGAAAGGTGCCCTCTGGTGGCACAGCTTCCTTGTATAATTTCAGGGGATGAAAGCAAGGTCTGGTCCATAAAACAGCCAAGTGTGACTGGATTATACTATGTGAGGGAAACTAAGCAAAAGACACGGTGGGAGTAAAGCTCCTGTGTGCTTTCAACTCTGCACTCTCCAGAGAGTAGACTAAAGGGCCCCACCATTCACTCAGTCCTCTGTGTTTGTCTTGGCCTTTTTTGTGCAGCTATAATATAATGCTCAGACCCGGGTAATTTATAACAAACCCAAATTCATTGGTTTATAGTTAGTATTAAAATGCTGGCATTTTGCAATGGCCCTACTGCCATGTCATCATGTGAATGAAAGGTTGAAGAAGACAAGGGAGGTTGAACTTGCCCTTTCCTAATAGCACCAACCCCACTCATGGAGCTGGAATCCTCATGGCCTAATCACCTCTTAATACTGTTACATCAATTCAGTTTCCACATGAATTTGGGAGGGGACAGACATTGGGAATTTTAACAGCATGTTACAGACCATTTAACACAAGAGATAGCAGCACAAAGAGATTTAGCAATGTGCTTGAGGCCACACTGCTGCATTACATGCAACCATCTCTCTCTGACTCCAGACTCTTCTCCATGCTGTGCATTGCTGCTCTGAGTGGCAGAAAGCCACCTAGCACTATATCCTTCCACTCTGCCCTCAAAGATTTCCCACTAACCATTAACTCTTGTCTTTTAATTGCATTGTCTCTAAAATTCCATTCCCAGATTCCTGCTTACATTCCATAGCTTGATTTTCCTGCATCACTAACCCTTAATTACTAGGTTGCTTTGACTTATTCCAACCAATTAGATGATTAGATATTTTTCTAGTTTTTTAGAATCCCACCCTCTCTCTTCCTGGTTCATTGTCACAGTCCCCTGAGGCTACCTGAGCTATTTAATGCAAGTGAGATATGCTCCATCCATTCATTTGGCCAGCAAAGTCGATCCTTCCCCAACATAAGACAGGGTTACAGAAGAGAGTGAGAAAGAATGGGGGACACCACTGATGGGGGCATGTGTCATAGCATGGCAGGCACGATCCTGGAAGTTGTGTGCAGGGAACCATATCTGAGATTCTTAGAGGGAATAAGTGGGTTCTTCGCATACATTCCCTCCTGCTGTCACTGGCTAAAACCCTGTCACACCTCTAACATCATTAAACCTCCATCACCATTTTGCAGGTGAGAAAACTCTAGAAGAGAAAAGACAGCCCTAGACGATTCAGTAACTTTAACCTGATTGCAGAGCTAGGAGAGTTCAGAGTTGAGATCTGACTGGAACTGGCCTGGAAAATGGCCCCTACATTCCAGTCTTCAGAACAAAACATGATTCTCAGTGGAGTCTTCCAGTGTCTCTAAACTCCAGGACCGAGGCTTACCAAAGTCTGTACATAAGGTCAACCATGGTCACTCCGTTCCAGCATTCTAAAATTTTAGGGCTCCAAAGAGTAAAGAAGAAAGTGTCTGGAGTCAGCAGCTTAGCTGTCATCAGTCTTCGATGCCATTTTTTGGTAAATTTCCAAGTCATTTGTGTACAATCACATGCGCAAATCTCTGTCCCACTCTACACAATTAGCCCCCTGCAGGCAGGCACCACAGGAAAAATCTTGCACATAAGAAGGAACAGATACTTCACCAATAGCCTCTTTAAAATACACATTAATGGACCAGGAGAATGACTCAGCAGGTGAAAGTACTTGCCACACAATCTGACTATCTAAGTTCTGCTCCCAGACTCAATGTAAAAGCTGGATATAGTGACACACATCTGTAATCCTAGCATTCCTATGGCAAGGCGGGAGGTGGAGAAGGATGAACTGTTCAGGAGCTCTTAGACAAGATAGCCTTGGTTTGCTGTGCATCAGCAAAATAGTGAGAGACCCTGCCTTAAAAGCAGAGGTGAGCACAATTCCCAGAGTGGTAACACACCTCTCTCTCTCTCTCTCTCTCTTCCTCTCTCCCTTTCCCTCTCTCTCTCTCCAATATAAGTAAATTAATCTTAAAATATTTTAAATACTCATTAATTAATAATCGTGTGGCCTCTCTTATGAATCATGGTGTCCCTGTGTATCTGTGTATATTTTTCATACTGAATAGTTGCTCCTGGGAAGATAAAATTAATTTTCTTATTTTTATAGTTCAGATTATTTAAATATTTCTAATACATGAATATTGCTTTTATAATTTTTAATAGTTCTGTTTCCAACCCACGAAGTAGGGCAGGGGTGGAAATGGGTTGTTGGGTTGGAAGGAGGGCTCGAGTTTGTGTTTCTATGTAAGTCTCTCTGGTTTTTCTTCGTTTTCAGGTGACCCAGTTCGTATAGCACTGACTCTGGACATTGCAAGCATCTCTAGCATTTCAGAGAGTAACATGGTAATTATTACCCAGTGGCATTCCTCCATGGGCCCTCTCCTTACTTTCAATCATGATGTCCTTTCAAATTACTCAGAAACAAAATGGCAGATGCTGGAGTTCTGTCTCTTAAGTGAAGACAATAAGGAGATGTTTACACAATAGGTTTTCTGGGTATCAGGAAGGAAACAGACCCAAAAGTCAGGAAGAGAGAAAATAGAAAAAAGAAAGTGAATTATTATTTCACTGAGAAATAATAACACTGAGGCGGGGGGGGGGAAGCACGTTCCAGAGGTCTGGACTTCACATGGTCTTTCAGAAAGGGGGGCATCTGACAGAAACTAACAATCTAATGACCAGCTTGAGAGAACACAGGGAAGATGAAGCCAGGAGGAAGGCAGTTTGCCCAGGGCCCTTGAGGTATGATGGGTAAATCCTGGGTAACCCAGGTACTTGCTCAACAAAACCTTTATCAGTTTAATGACAACTGTGTTCTCAGTCAGAATTTTTTAAAAAAAATATTTATTTTTATTTTATTGGTGTTTGCCTGTATGCATGTCTGTGTGAGGGTATTGGATTCTGGAGTTACAGACAGTTGTGATCTGTCATGTGGGCGCTAAGAATTGAACCAGGGTCCCCTAAAAGAGCAGTGAGTACTCTTAACCACTGAGCCATCTTTCCAGCCCCAGTGTAAGCTTTTATGTCAAGCAGGCCAGGTCCCAAAACTGGGCCTTGGCAGTAGAAGTTATTATCTAAAATATATAATACACTTGGTTCTTTCATAGCTGTAGATAAGTACTATACCAATAACTTAAATATATATATATTATATCATATATATGATATATCATATATATCATATTGTATATATAGAGAGAGCATATCTAAAGCGGGGGAGGGGATTGAAACTTAACCCCCTTTCTTCTGTTTTTTGGGGTCTCCATCCTCCTACCTTCCATTTCCTTTTCTGGCTTTCCTCTTAGGACTACACAGCCACCATATACCTCCGGCAGCGCTGGACAGACCCACGGCTGGTGTTCGAAGGCAACAAGAGCTTTACTCTAGATGCTCGTCTCGTGGAGTTCCTCTGGGTACCGGACACTTACATTGTGGAGTCCAAGAAGTCCTTCCTCCATGAAGTCACGGTAGGAAACAGGCTCATCCGACTCTTCTCCAATGGCACAGTCTTGTACGCACTCAGGTGAGCAGGCATCTGGAACTCTGGGATTGGAGGAAAAGACGCATACAAGAGGAAAGACATGTATATCCTAGATACTTATGACCAGCCCCAAAGGGCCAGCCTGAATCCCCATTCCTCCCAAGTTCCTCTGTTTTACACCCCACCGCCATTCAGAAGGGCTTTCTCTCAGTACAGCCTGGTTACAGTCCCATCTTTTGAGCATCTGCTTCATGCCAGGCCTCATGCAGTATATTAAGGGAAAGCTGGGAGAAACAAACCTGCTCCTGAGAATACAGGATGTAAACAAAGGGTGCCAGGATCCAGCCTGGGGCATAGGCTAATGATTAGGGGTGGTGTTAGAATATGCTTTTGTAGGATTATAAACTGGGCATTTAAGAGCAAGGAAAGTTAGCAGAAAAAAAAAGGGGGGGTGCTAGAGAGATAGCCTGGGGACCTTGAGTTCAGAGTCTGGGTGCCCATGTAAAAGCTGAGCCTAGTTGCATGCATCTAAAAGCCCCATGCTGTAGGATAGAGACAGGCAGATCTTGGGACTTACTAAAGCCTAGTCTTAAACTGCAAGGTCCCAGGTTCAATGAGAGACCAAGCCTCAGAAGAAAAGAATAGTAACGATGAGGACTGGCTGACTTCCTGAATAAAATGCTTGCTGTCCAGGCATGAGATTAGAGTTTTGTTTTGTTTTGGTGGGGTTTTTTGATAATTTTTCTTAAATTTAAATTTGAAACAATATTGTTCTACTTGTCAGAGATTAGAGTTCTAAGTCCTACCAATCATGACAGCCCATCTGTGTGTTTGGCCTTTAGGAGTTGGAGATCTCTAGGGAAAGATGTCTGGCTAAACTACCCAAATTTGTAAGATCTAGGTTCATTAAGAGACCCTGCCTCAACGTAGTAAGGTGGAGAGTAATTAAGGAAGACACTCAACCTCTGGCCTGCACACACATGTACATACACATACAGGTACCTGCACACCCACACACACATGCACCCACAGATGTGAAAAAATACACACATATACACATACATGTACACAAATAAATAAGGTGGAAAAGTAATCAAGGAAGATATCCCAACACCAGCCCTTGTCTCCACACTAACCCACAGGGACAAGTACACCTGACATACACGCGTGCATGTGTGCGTGCATGAGTGCGCGCGCGCGTGTACACACACACACACACACACACACACGTGCACACACACACATGAAGGGGAGAGAAGGAGGGAGAAGAAGAGGAGGGAAGGAAGACAAGGAATGGTAAAGTGTGAGCAAACAGAGAAGTCTATGTAAGGAATTTGTGTTTTACAGGGCTCAATGGAGCAAGGTATCTCTACATCTCTGCTTTGTATGAAACATGTTTATACAAAGAAGCAAGGCATGTGTCTCAAAGACTACCTACTTGCAGCTACAGGCCACTGCCCCAAATTGCCAAGGCCTAAAGTTCCCTCCATCTCATGGACTTCTCCCAGTGATTGGAAAGGAAAGAGGCTCCCTGAGTGTTCATAAGGCAGGCAGCCTACATAGAGGGTTTATCCTGTGCAAGGGCTGTGCACACTTGAGCTCCTTGAGTCCTTGGGGAGCAGATCAGGTAGTAAATATGAATAGACCAACCTTTAATCACAAGAAAGACTTGAAGTTATAAGCAAGGATTGAACTGCCAAATAGTATTTCTGGGCATGCCTCAGCAACACTGCATCTTATAGAGACCGGTCCAAACCCCAACTCCTCTTTCAAGAAGCCCAACTCTCCTTTGATTCCCAATCTACATATTTTGTCTATGCTTTCACGGGAACCTGTTCACACAGTAGGTGTGTTCATATAAACTGGGGTACCTGGGAGTGTGTGTCTATTCTGTGTTACAGCTTGTAGTGCAATCAGTCTGGGGAAGAATTTAAGAATCACCAATGAATCACAGTTTTTGAACGAATTGCCACTAGACTTTTTAAATGATTTTTCAAGATAGGGTTTCTCTATGTAGCCCTGGCTGTCCTGGAACTCACTCTGTAGACTAGGCTGGCCTCAGACTCACAGAGTTCCACCTGTCTCTGCCTTCTGAGTGTTGGAATTAAAAGTGTGTGCCACCAACGGCTGGCTGCCACTAGACTCTTGTCCTAAATAGCTCTGAGAACTTGGACAAGTTACCATGCCCTCTGAGCCTCAGTTTCCTCAAAAACAAAATAAGAATAGCTGTTCTTATCTCATAGAGCTATTTGAAGGGTTAATGTATGTGACATCCTCAGCACAGAAATTGACTTGCAATAAGCAACCAGTATCCAGTGGTTGTCTTTCTCTGTCTTCCTTAAATGGATGTAGAGCTCCATCAAGTTAGACACTATGCTAGAACAAAGACATCTGCCTTCTAGATGTACCCAGCACTGTACTTAATAAATCAGGGACCTACTGATAATATGTGGATATAAGAAAGGAAGATAAAGGCCTGACTTTTAAAGTCTCCACTGTGAAGATTCTACTGGTGTCTTGTTGAGCATCCTGGGGTGGACCCGAGAGCTATGAGTTATAGTACCTGGTGCCCTCTGGATTCTCTGCATCCTGATCCATCAAGGATCCAGGAGACCAGGACTTCTGTCCCACCTATGCTGCTCACAGTCTTTCAAGCCTAAGCAAGTCCAGTGATCACTGTTCCAGACCTAGAAAGGGTTGTCATTGAAAACCTAAGTGCAAAAGCATCTCCAGAAAGAAGAAGTGGACACAAAGTCCCACTACCAACCAAGACACTATCTATAATTGATAGCTGCTGTAGGGGGGAGGAATCACATTTCTCTAATGAAATGACATTTATCAGCCACACTTCAGAGTAGGCCTCATGTTCACAAAACAGGTTCCGTGGGTTTTTGTTTTATTTTGTTTTGTTCTGTGTGCTTTGTTCTTGCCATTTTGGTTTGGGATTTGAGTGTTTGTTTGTTTGGGAGATTGTTTTGTTTTGTTTTGAGAGAGAGAGAAAACATGAAGTTAGGTGAATTGGAAGTGAGGATCATCTGGGGATAGTTGAGGTAAAGGAAAGAATATGATCAAAATAGATTGTATGAAAAACATAAATTGGCATTTTTAAAAAAGGATCTCCAAAGGCTAGAGAGATGACTCCATCCTTAAGAGCACTTGCTACTCTTGCAGAGGACCTGGGTTTGGTTCCTAGCACCCATATGATGGCTCACAGCCATTCTTAACTCTAGTTCTAAAGGACCCAGTGCCCTGAAACACCTAAAATAAATTGAGTAAATTAAAAATATGTTTTTAAAACATCTTCAACACAATGGAGAATGAGTTTGTCTTGTAACATTGTGGATGTTTGCCTCTGATTTGCCAGCATTCCACTTTGGATCCAGTTTTAATAGGGTCTGATGAGTGTTGTTGAGCACAGAAAACCTCAGGAATGCCTGGATTCAGGCTCCAAGTCACATGACCCCACAAGAGTCTGAGAAAAAGTCCTCTTGGAGCAGCCCTCAGGAAGAAATGTGACCTTCCTCTCTTCCTCACAGCACTCTTTCTGAGTCCATTTTTCTTTTTTGTTTTCTTTTCCCCCTTTCTTTAGAATCACAACAACTGTTACATGTAACATGGACCTATCTAAATACCCTATGGACACACAGACCTGCAAGTTGCAGCTAGAGAGCTGTGAGTATACATCCTGAAGTCCCCCAGGTGACTTTCTTGGGTGACTTCCATCTCTGTTTTTGCAGAGTATCCCATATCTTATGAGCTTTCTTTCTTTATGCTGATCCACAATGGATTGGGCTATTCTGCCTACACATTCAGATAGAGTCAGATTCTTTCAAAGGTAAACTGTGTAACATTGCATCTTTGTGGGAGGACTGCTCTGCATTAGTACCAAATATCTCCAGTAGAGAGATGACTGAAGAAAATGCTTTAACATAACTGATGTGTAGATCGTGGCCAGCACACAGCATTCATCTGCCAAATCTGTCCCATTACCTGTTTCTGGAAGGAGTTGTGTTATAGCAGAGTAATGGCTACTCATTGGCAGATTGTCTGTGATTGGTGCCATGCTGTAATAACAGAACTGAGTATTTGTGATAAAGACTGTATTGTCCACAAAGCCTAAAATAACAACATTCTTCATCGCTACAGAACAGAGCTAATTCCATATGAAATTCCAAGGAATGTATCCTTTCCTAGACTCTCAGAGCCACAGAATCTTGTTTCATGGATATTTCTATGGCTATGACCTGTATCCACACATCCACTCTTGCTCTACCAAAACCAAATCAACCCCAGATCCCTATAAAAGCTGATGCAAACATCTGGAGCCTCATCAACCCCATTTCCATTTGTTATTAAATATGTCTCGGGTTAGCCTTTGAATCCCAGAAGGCCTCAACAGGTTTCCTTACTTTTCCTAATAGAAATGTGCTGGTTTCCAAATTACAGTTGTAAATCCATAACCATAGATAGTTCACCTGACAAAAACATACTGAGTTCTGACACAGCTGAAGACAATCTTCTCAGCTTCTTAGGTAGCTTGAGTGAGTGTATATGAAAGTGGAAGATCAAGTCCTTTCAAAAGTGTTTGAGTATTTTTTTAATGCAGTCTTTTTATTTTCCTATTTGGTTTTGTTTTTTATCATAGAAATCAAAAATTATTATTGAAATTAGTGTTTTCTTTTGATGTAATAATGGAAGCCAGAGAAGTCACAATTCTTAAAATAGCCTAAACTGTATCCTTGACTTTACTGGAACAATGTTTGATACTCATATTTAGGATATATTTATATAATTTCTTGAATGACATTAATAAATAATCTCTTAAGGCAAGAGAGGGAGAGAGAGAGAAAGAGAGAGAGAGGCAGAGAGAGAGATGTGCTGGCTTCTAGCTCAACCTTGCTATGCAACTACAGAGGAAATAGGGAGGCTAGTTGGAAAATGACTATAGGAGGGACAGCTAATGTCATTACCTCAATCTGCCTTTGCCCTGGTCACCTAGACCAAATCGTTTTTTCCCTAATTAGCAGCCGTGAAGATAATAAATAATGGGCTCTTTTCCTGATAATAGTGTTGCATCCGCGTGCCAAGCACTCTCATAGATACCTTCCAAACAAACCTATAAGTGCTATTTCTCCCACCTTATGATTATAGAAATTGAGGCTCACCACAATTTAGCATTTTTCTAAAGGGACCTGGGAAGCAGTATCAGTGGGTCTAGAGCTCAGGAAGAGGGCGACAACAGTCCCAAGAGCTCTTCTACTGGCTGGAAGCCCATGAGGATTTCATTCCAGTGGCTTGCTTGTATGTGATCTGGGATATCCATTTCTCCCTATATACCATAATATGCTTTCAAGCAATTGTATGGAATTTCTAGGTTCTCATGCACCAACTGATAACCATTTTCCCCCAAGCCTAGGGAGCACGTAGTGCTTGTTTGGGATTCCCCAATCCTGCCAAATGTTAAGCTGAAATACAGTATGACTGTCAAATGGCAGTCCGAAGCTTCTTTTGGGCCATTTCCTTTTGGTTACTTAGGACCAAGGCCAGTGTTTTTCCTTTCCCCTGTGTTTTAAGGAAAATATTTTGACTCAGTCTAATACTTCAGTTCTATGTATTTTCCCACTAAAGTCTCCAGCTAGTCTGGATGGCTGGTTGAGTTCCATCTGCCTACCCTCAGTTCACCCATTTAACAACTACATGCCTGTTCTGTGTTAAATGCCATGGTGGATGTTGTCAATACAAAGAAAAAACGATTCACCAGTCTTCGACAAGTATACCACCTTACGGAGAACACGGGACTTAAACTAATTATGAAAGAATAAATGATAACAATAAAAAGTAATGGCACCATGAAAGCCTGCTAGGGAGTCAGAGAGACTCAGAGGGAATTGCCACCTGAAATTAGAGGGATCAGTTCCAGCTGGCTAAGTGGCCAAGAAAAGCAGGGCACAGCACCACCAAAACAAGAAGGAACAGAGCAAAGGTTGGTAAGGAGCAAAGAGGAGTTGGAGTTGGGGCATATGGTGAATGGGAGGTGCAGAGTGCTTGCCTAGCATGTAAAAGGCCCTGGGGGAGAAAAAGTAAAACATTCAAATCAATCACTGACATTTGTGATGCAGCTGCCTCCTGCACATGAAGGACCTTACTTGGTATATATAAAGCTTCATATAGTGCTGTGGGTAAATGAACATCTAAATTATAATCTGGGTATTTCCTACAGTGGCAAATGAGGGTTCACTCTAAATGGATGTAGGTCAAATCAATTCCTTGGGATTGTTAAACAATCACCATTGTTTCTTAGTATGCATCTCTGAATATCCCCCCCAAACTTGAGCACCTGTGATAGGGAAATAATGCCACAGACATGACTCATTAAGGCATCAGAGTGGAAAATAACTGTAGACAAGTCTTGAGAACCACTGAGTACTCTATACTTAGGGCAATGCCAGGAGAGAGGAACTATTATGAGAAGAAGCCATTTTTCAGAAGTACACATTTAATTAAAGACTTAGGCAGATTAATTACCCTATTGATTCTATGCATGCAAACCGTTCTTGAAGGAATGCAGCTGTTTGGGAGCAGAATGCAAGTTGAGGTTATCAAGAAGAGAAGTCATTCAAGTGTAGCACAATAGAAGTAATTGCCCTCCATGTGTCATGGCTGGGCTCATCCCCAATCCCAGGAGCAAGTTTCTTGAAGAAACCAGCACTCTGTGTGCACAGACACTATCTCCAAGGAGCAGAAGCTTCCACAGGATGCTTATTAGCAGGCACTTAGGTATTAAAAACCTCACTAAGGTTTGCTTTTTTCCCTATATACTACCACTAAAAAATTATTAATATTATCTTAATCTCCCACATTCACCCAGGGATAGAGAGTTGGTAGCAAATAAAAACTGTCCTCTACTAGGAGTGAAACCAAGTACCCAGGTAGAAACTTGTTCTCAATTTCTTAGAGGCATCTTCATTACTTTGGGATTGCAATTAATTTCAGTGGCTACTTTCCACTTGCTTTCTGTTATTCCAAAGGAAAATTCCATAACTTTATCTGGAGCTCAAGGAGTTCAGGTATTATAAGACAAAACCTATTAAATATTGACTTCCATAATGATTCTTCTTAGCACAATATTGGTCCCAGTAACCTTTGAAGCAATGACAAGAGATATTTGTGTTTATGGCCATGGGTGCTAGAATCATATGGCAACATCACTAGCTGTATGATTTTGGCTACAAATTTCTCTGAGTCTCAATTTCCTACTCCTTGAAATGGAAAAATTAACAGTACCTGGCTCAATGAGTTGCCTCTATATAAATCAGATTTATTGAGCTATATTGTATGCACCATAAAAGTTTTTGGTAAACTTACCAGGGTGTGTAGCCATTGGCAGGATACATTGTTGGAACATTTCCATCTCCCCCAAAGAGATCCCTTGTGCTTATTGTGACAACCCCAATTTCCTACCACCAACTCACAGGTACCACTAACTTATATTCTGCCACTATGGATTTGTCTCTCTTGAACATTTCATATAAGTAAGATCAATATGATCTGTTCCCTTTTGCATTTGGCTTTTTTCACAGAATGCTGTGGCATGTTATCAGTACTTCCTTCCTTTTGATTGCTCAGTACTATTTCTTTCCTGCTTTTTCAGCTGGTGGGATTTTAGTTTATTCTCACATCTGGCCACTGTATATAATGCTGCTGTGAATATTTGTACACCAGTCTTTCTGTGACTGGCACTTCATAACTCTCAAGTCAATGCCTTAGAATAGAATTCTGATTCAAATGATACAGTTATTATTTAGGTTTTTAGTTAGTGATTTTGTTTCCTAAAGTGGTTGATATCTTCCCTTCCCACCAGTACAGTTCCAGCTTGTCAACATCTTTATCATTTTTCTCGTCTCTTCCTTATTACTACTATCTTATCAAGCATGAAGTGGTGTGTGGTTTTGCTTTGCATCTTTCCAGTGACTGATGAAGCTGGATCTGTTTTTTGTGCTCATTAACAATGAACATATCCTCTCAACAAGGGTTAGAAGAGATGATAATGATGCAAGGATTTAGAGATTTCTTACTGAATAATAGATACTACATTATTATCACCAACATCCATGGACTTTGAGATTAAGCACAGTGCTGGCTTTTGTCTCTTACTTGACTACACTCTGAGAAAGTTATGAAGTCCCTTGGAATGGAAAACATTCACGTATACTGGACAAATGATGCCTCCAGTCTAAGGCACAGTATATAGTGAATAAGCACATTTTAGGAGAAAATGCTACTTCACATACATGAATTGATGATAAGATCAATCACCATTTCAGAAATGTAAAAACAAAAGTCCATCTTAAAGTTGAAGAAACACAGAAATGTCTACAGAACTTTAGAGATACGTGTTGTATATAGAACAATATAAATGGCTCTTAAAAGGTAACTGTTATCACTACCATCAACTGATATGAGTAAAGCCAACATTTATCAAAAGCACATATTGACAGAAATTCATAAAGTGGCTGGCTACAGGAATTTTTTATTTTGGCATTTATAGCAATGAGAATGTGAATAGACCCCTTCCAAAGTCCTAGACAACATTATCCAAGCTTAGACTGCTCTGAAAGACAGACTCTAATATGGGTCTCTTTATGGTAGCATGCTTAATAAGTATTATTCAGTAGTGAAGGAGGCCATTTTTATCATCCACCAGGCTTGGACAATGCTTAGCATAGAACTACTTCTCAACGAGTCAAAAATGGTCCTAGTAAAAGATTTCATTTTGCTATGCTTGAGAAACCCAGCCAACTTTCGCATGACATGCTCCTTTAGACTTAATACCATCAGAATAGAGCTCTTGCTGTGTCTATTCTGCATCATTTCTCAAACCAGCTAAGTCTGTAGCATCCTTGCTCTGACCAGAGCTCACTTTCATTTGCCAGGGGGATACGACGGCAATGATGTGGAGTTCACCTGGCTGAGAGGAAATGATTCTGTACGTGGGCTTGAAAGCCTGCGCCTTGCTCAGTATACCATCCAACAGTATTTCACCTTGGTCACCGTATCCCAGCAGGAAACAGGTAACTCTTGTGACCCATCACACAAAATAAAAATACTTAAAAGAAAACATCGCCACCTGAGTCATAAGAAACATAACCTCTGCCTCAACTCTCATGGTGTGCGAACATTCTATAGTGGTGTAGAGTAGGAGAAGGGAGATGGGCATGGAACCTGGGCATCTGTGGACTCTACACTCAGGGTGGACATAGTCTGCTGGAGAGTCTCTGGGCCAATGCTGAATCTTAGCTGGTACCTTCCAGGGTTTTCTAATGACAGTTTTCAAATGCAGGCCTCCCTTGTGCCCAAAAAGTCACTCATGTTTCTAATGAGTACACCGGTCAAGTTTTTTTTTTTTTTTTTTTGGTGTTGGGGGGGTTGTTGTTGTTTTGGTTTGGTTTTGGTGTTTCAAGATAAGGCTTCTCTGTGTAGCCCTGACTGTCCTGAAACTTGCTCTGTATACAGGCTGGCCTCAAACTCATGTAGATCTGCCTGCCTCTGCCTTCCTAGTGCTGGGCTCAAAAATAGGTATTTTCTAAATGACATGATTTTATGTATAAACAGTGGCATTTTCTTCTCGGTTCCTCGTGGTCAGGTTAGGAATGCTTTGTCTCATCAATATTTATACTCTTTAAAACATTATCATGTACTCTAGTTGAGTCTAGATAACTTAAAAAATTAAGTGTATGCCAAAACTGTTCCTAGAAAAAAGACAGGAAGGAAAGATGACAACTCCCCATTGTTTATATTACACACAGGCAGCCCATGTAGTACATGACGTTGAAATGATATACCTCTGAAACCAACAAAAAGTAAACTATTGGGACTGGAGGGATAGCTCAGTCAATAAGGTGCTTACCTTGTGAGTATGAGGACACTTGACTTAAATCCCCAGAACCCACGGAGAGGTGGGGCTGCACACACCACTTGTAATTCTAGTACCAAAGAGGCAAAGACAATAGAACTCTGAGGCTAGCTGTCAAGCACCTAGCCTACTCAGCAAGCTCCAGGCCAGTAAGAAATACTGTCTCAAACAAAAAAGGTAGATGATGCCTGAAAAATAACATCTAAGATTGCACTCTGGTCTCCACAATCAATTTCACACACATGCATATACTCCATAATTAAATTATATGTAATAGACCTATTCTACAGTCATCTTGAAAACAATGGACTGTCTTAAGTAATCTTCATTAAACCGGTGTTTATTAACAATTTACCATGTGAATGCAAGACACAGAGTTTGCCCCCTTGGGGTTTACAGTCTAGTGAGCTAGATGTTAAGAAAATTGATGCTTGCAATACTGAAGGAATGCTTTGATAGAGAAAGGCATAAGAAGAAAACCACAAGTGTAGGGGTTAGACAACAGCACCTCTGTAAATCTCTTATCAGGCAACACTGAGGATCTTTGTGGTAACCAGAGTGGCAGTTCATAGTTGACTAGATTTGGTAACATAAGACTTAACATGACTGTGGTTCAGGCAACTCCTCTCTTGTGTGAACAGACAAGTCCTTACTTCTTGTTTGCACTCTTAGGAAACTATACGCGATTGGTTTTACAATTTGAGCTTCGGAGGAATGTTCTGTATTTCATTCTGGAAACCTATGTTCCTTCCACTTTCCTGGTGGTGTTATCCTGGGTTTCATTTTGGATCTCCCTCGATTCGGTTCCTGCGAGGACCTGCATTGGTAAGAAGCTCCCGGGGACAAGTTCTAAGGACTAGGTGAATCAGGTGTTATTTAAAATTCTATCATTATTTTCACTGATGGTTGCAATGCCATCATAAGAGTTGGTATCTTGAGAAATTCCTTTACACTTAGAGAAAAATGGGTGCAAAGTTAAAGAAAAAAGATAACATCAGAGGAACTATATTGTTTAATTTGTCTTATAGTGACAGAGGAGATGAGCTTGTGTAAACAGTCCACTGTCAGTTACTTTATTACTGGCTGCCCATCTCTAAGAGAAGACAGAAAGTGACATATTTAGAAAACTATGCCACTTGCATCTGTTTGAGATGAATAAAACAATCCTATTCCAGAAGGTCACAGACTCTTTGAAATGAGATCTGTATGGTTCATGAGTTCTGTGTTCATCTCGCCAGCTCGTGGGTGGAGCCACCCAGCCAGATGATACAGGATGATAGAGGTAGGGTCAATATACACCAGTATGGAACAGTACCTGCTTGTTTTCCCAGGAGTGACAACTGTGTTATCCATGACCACATTGATGATCGGGTCCCGCACATCCCTACCCAACACCAACTGCTTCATAAAGGCCATCGATGTGTACCTGGGGATCTGCTTTAGCTTCGTGTTTGGGGCCTTACTGGAGTATGCTGTTGCTCACTACAGCTCCTTACAGCAGATGGCAGTCAAAGATAGGGTAAGGATTTAGAGGGTATTGTCTAAGATCCATCATTTGGACCATACACTGCTCTGAAGAGGGGATCAGGGCTGGGTTCCCATCTCCAGAGTAATTCACTTTGTTCTGATGCATCTCATCCCTACTAAGGTGAGCACATTGAAAGGCAGGGTACCCCTTAGCCAAGGTTGTTCTTTTCACCAGATAAAATAAGATACCAAAATTTAATTTTCTAGCAAAAAAACTATTATTCATATGCAACATGGAAGTACAATCTTAAGAACACGCATCTAAGAAAAAGCCTAATGTCAAACTAGACATGCTGAGATGTTCACACGTTTCAGATTAACATGTGATTACTATTTAATTCTTCTGATGCAATTTTGTATTCTTAAAGTATACAAGTAACAGCTTATTTTTAAAACATGTATGGGAAAAATTAACTTGTGTCAAAATCCTTGGGATTATAACCTAAAACTTCTTTGCTCCAGTGTGATGCTTTGTTTCCCCTTCACACAGTACTGTTTACAGCCACATTAAACTCCAAGGTTATTTGAAAACTAAATTCGATAGGCATTAGCCCACCGAAGCTCAAACTAACAAACAAATGATGAGGATCTGAGTCAGAAAAGTGCCACCCTAAGCAGTGTGCTATCAGACCACAGGGGTCTAATAGTGAGGATACAGCAACCAGGAGACCAGGGGCTTTGCCATTGTGTTTGGTTGTTGTGCTCAAGCCAAGCACCAAAGACAGAAGAGATGTGTACCAGTCAGAGGAGAATGTGGATTTCATGTGTTTTCTTCCATATAGGCTTCCCTAATGATACACACAAATTCATATTTGTTAGAATGATAGAGAGGACTGGAGAATTCCTAAGAAGTCCAACTGGAGATAGCAGTATGCACCCCCATGCCCGTGCATATAACAGTTGGAGTATATGCTGTGGAGTATGTACTGCCTCCTTTACATCTCAAAGTATCCCAAAACATAGGGAAATCGAACCATCATTCTCCTTATTTTATTACTGAGAATTTTGCCCTATAAGTGATGAAGCAACTCAGCCAATACCCCATATCCTGTGTCACAGGCACCTTTTTGGATAGTGGAAAGTCCCTGGGTTTGCAAGGAACACAACCCCTCTGTTTCCAGAGTGTGGCAAAGACCACATGACACAATGGGTTTATATTATCTCTCGTAATCTCTTCTCCCAGAACAGACAAAAACTTTACCAAATATCTACTAGGGGCTTTACACAATTTATGCCACTTAATCTTCCCCTTAGTCTCATGAAGGAGCAATTAATACCATTACCATGTTACAGACAAGGAAATCACATCTTAAAGGGATGAAAATAACTAAAGTTTCCAGTAGTAACAGATCACTTGAGGTTTAAGCCCTGATCCACTACCTTCATAGCACCCTGTTCTTCACAGTACCATCCATGTATGTTACTGTGTCCTGTCTTCCAAGCTAACTGTTTTCTATGACCCAGGGGACAGCGAAGGAATCAGAAGATGTCAAAATCACTAATATCATCAACAGCTCAATCTCCAGCTTTAAACGAAAGATCAGCTTTGCCAGCATTGAAATTTCTGGTGACAATGTCAACTATAGTGACTTGACAATGAAAGCCAGTGACAAGTTCAAGTTTGTCTTCCGAGAAAAGATTGGCAGAATTGTTGATTATTTCACAATTCAAAATCCAAGCAATGTGGATCGATATTCCAAACTACTATTTCCTTTGATTTTTATGTTAGCCAATGTATTTTACTGGGCATACTACATGTATTTTTGAGATGACATTGAAATTTTGCATGCCATGTTTTCAATAGAATAACATTATAATGTTAAAGATATTCTAGGATATGTGTACGCACTTTAGCCCAGAAATCTACAAATGGGCTAAAGTAATGGTTATTCTAAGATGTGTAGACATCCTAGTATGACAGGGTTCTATAATGGAATCACTATGAAGTGACCTTTTTCTTCTTAAATATTGGACAGACATCCCCACAGAACTCAAGATCACAAACCTACTCAGGGCTCTTTGCTCTCTAGGTCCCTGGTTTGCATTCACTGCATAAAAATATGTATTAAAGGGTTTATTTTCTAGAGAATTCATAGTGGCATTTACCAAATCTCTGCAATGCTTGTAAGATGAATGTGTGCCAATTTAGGGAACAACATTTTCTAATTTTTGTTCTTCCTTGAAATGAAATGCAGGTTCATGTCAGTTCACTGGTGGTCACCACACTGCATCAACTCAATACCAGATAAATTCTCAGTGTTACTTATTACCACCAGAGAATTGTCCCCACATTCCAGTAAGTCCTATTATTGAGAAATCAAATGTTAATGAATAAAATTACTGGATCAATAAACTAAAAACATAAATCCTTTAATATGGTTCCCCAGGCTTGAAGGACTCCTGGGATTTACACCACTGTTACACATATCATATTATTTTATTGTTATACACGCTTAGTCCTAAACTGTGTGAAAGCTATTTTCCCACACCAGGGAAACAGGAGGAGGTTCTGAAACCTCTTTTAGGATTCTTAACACAGAATGCTGCCATGAAGACTTGCTGGTTCAAGTCTATTTTCTAGCCACCTTTACTCACATACTGGCTAGGTTCCAAGTAGACCAGAAAGTACTCTGTTAATCTGTCATTTGTGTTGATCTCACAATGGGGAACATTTTGCCAGTGGCAGGTCCCCTGTATCCTTCCAGGAGGAGCTTTCATCCCTATGCTCCAGTGACCAGGCAGGAGTGACACCTTTAAGATAAGGAACCATATTACCCAGATACAAGTAGCTTGCCATGTATAGATTCTTTCCCCCCAATCCTTATAACTGGACTAAGTTTTTTCTTTGACCATATATCCTTACTTGCAATGCTCATTGCAAAGAATCACTGGTCTGGTTGGAAGCCTCTGGCTTCTGCTACACTATTGATGCTGAGCCCTCATTGGGACTTGTCTTTGGTATCCTGTTGCTGCCCTGTGTCATAAAGGTCCTGCAGCTTTGGCTCTTCAGGATTGGTCCCTTCATGTACTCCAGCAGATCACAGATGGGGTGGATATTGGGGTGGGCCAACCCATAACCTGGTTCTGGACCTAGGTAGGTGCAGGGTTGATCATACTGCAAGCTCCTCACCACCCACCACCCACCACCCACCTCACTACCAGGATGAGCTCTCCAGTAGCTGGACTACTTTAAATGGCTTATCCTGAATGCTCAGGAGACCACTGGCCCTGAGTCTTGAATGCTCTGAGCAGTGGTAAGGCATGTTGTACAATCCACATGAGTTGTCTTTTCTGAGTTCGGCCAGTGTTACCCTGACCTAGGAACTCTTGTATTCCTCTCCCTCTGCTCCTTGGGACTCAACTATGCCTAGTTCCAATTCAGCCTCAGTTATTTCAAAGACTCTCACTATCCTTGGCCCTTTAGCCTCCTTTTCTAATGAATGTGTGGCTTTAGCTGTCCTTTCTAAAATAAACCAGAACTTCAAATGGTCTGTTTTCACTTCCTGCATCCATGGGCTCTCCTCTTTATCATGATGCTTCCCCTTATGATTCAGTTTCTATGCGCTTGATTGTCTGGCACTTAACAAATGTTTCTACTTTAAAAACTCTTTGTTCATTGGAGTATACTTTGAAGCTAGGTGTAGTTGCACCATTAGAGTTCTTAGTAAAATCTCTTTATATTTTATAACTGTCATACACATCTTTAAGGGGAGGGGTTAGGAGATGGGAAATGTGGTTAAAGGATTCAACCATATTTGTAATTTTGTTAATAAAAATGTTTAAAATTTACAAGAGGACTCTTGTAAGCTATTGAATAATGACAATTGTAAATATGTGAAATCATAAAATAAATACATTATATGAGCTACAGAGTGGCAATTATAGAGCAATATCACATGTCCCACATACAAAAGATGTATATCATATTGCTAATTCAGGAGCCTCACACTCCTCCATGTCTCCCTTCCAGCCCAGACAAAATATATACACACCCACAGACAAGGAAAAAAATATAATTTTATAGAAGTGAGTGTATCCAATGGGAGAAAAACAGCCTTTAGATTTTAGAACCACGGTACCCTTTGGGTAGTTCGCTACAGTGAACAATCTGAGCAACAATAGAAAGGCTACCTTAAATTCCCTTCCCTGATAACTTATATGACACCCACAGCTAAACACTAAGCCGAATTCCTGGAATCCAGTTGCAGAGAGGGAGGAGTGATAAGAAAAGGGGTCAAGACCAGGCTATGGAAACCTACAGAGACAGCTGACCTGAACAAGGGGGAGCTCATGGACCCCCCAAGACTGATAGCTGTAAAACCAGCATTGTACCAACTCAGACCCCCTGAATGTGGGTCTCAGTTAGAAGGTCTGGGCAGACTAAAGGACCTCTAACAGTGAAACCAGGACATATCCCTGATGCATGAAAGGACTTTGGGAGCACATTCCCCATGGAGAGATACTCCCTTAACCTAGAGGAAGGAGGGAGGGCCTAGTGTCTACTCCAAATTACTTGACAGATTTAGATGACCCCTCCTGGAAGGCACCATCCTCCCTGTGGAGTGGGGGGGGGGGTGGGAGAGTGGTCGGGGGCATGGGAGGGAAGGAGGAATAGGGAACTGGGATTAATATGTAAAATTTTAAAAAAAATTTAAAAAGCTAATAAAAAACTGCTAATTCATTACATCTGCCCCAAATATTCTGAATATTATCTGTACAAACTTTCTTCAAAATACTTAGTTTTAGATGAAAATATCAAAAAGAATTTCATCAAATGTCCAGATGAATGTAACTAGACAGGATAAGAAATCATGTAAGTCATGGAAGTGCAATCTTTAACTATCTTGTTATTGAGAATTATCCAAAGTCTCCACAGAGGGAGTTGTGTAAATATAAGAAGGCATCCAATGGCCAGGAAATATCTTAAGGTTCATCTCAAATGAGGCAGGGAGATGTGAAGACACAGCACAGGAAGAGAGACAGAGAGACAGAGAGACAGAGAGAGAGAGAGAGAGAGAGAGAGAGAGAGAGCTGAAGAGCTGCCGACCACAAGCCAAAAGGGAGTAACCAGCCTCACAAGGGAATCCCATGGGAGGAAAGCAGTGCAGTGTGAGCCTTCAGTACCAAGCCAGGACAGTGACTTAGCATCAAACTTGATGCCTAGGGTTGCAAAATAACCTTTCTCCAATGCTGGACTTTACTCTTTCAGGTGCAGGGCTGTTCTCGGCTGCTGGTCCATAATGAATTTTCATTAGTCCATGATACATTTGGCTGCAAAAGCTCCTTACTTCTTAAAACATACATTTTAAAATTTGACTTCTAATGTACAGGTAACACAATTGTCTTAGTTAGGGGTTCTATTGCTGTGACCAAACACCATGAACTAAAAGCAAGTTAGGAGGAAAGGGGTTTATTTGGCTTACACTTCCATATTGCCATTCATAATTGGAGGAAGTCAGGACAGGAGCACTAACGGGCCAGGAACCTGGAGGCAGGAGCTGATGCAAAGGCCATGGAGGGGCACTGATTACTGGTTTACTCCCCATACTTTGCTCAGCCTCCTTTCTTACAGAACCCAGGACCAGCAGGGCAGGGATGGCATCACCCACCATGGGCTGGGCTCTTCCCCAGTGATCATTAAATGAGAAAATGCCTTACAGCTGGATCTCAAGGAGGCATTTTCTCAGCTGAGGCTCCTTCCTCTGATGACTCTAGCTTGTGTCAAGTTAATACACAAAAATAGCCAGTACAATGATCCAACATATGGTTGATATGATTTATGTACCATACCAAGAAAATTTTTAAATTTTATCTATTATTAATTTAAAAATATAAATATTAAGGGGCTACAGAGATGGCTTCTCAGTTAATAGCACTTGCTGTTCTTGCAGAAGATTCAGTTTTCACTGTCCACACGGTGGCTCACAACTGGCTATAAACCTAGTCCCAGGGCATCTGATGCCTTTTCCTGACCTCCACCAGCACTACAGAAATACAATGCACATTTATACTCAGGTAAAAGTAATTTTAAAGCTTGAAGTAGTGGCACACACCTTTAATCCCAGCAGTGGGGGTGAGGGGCAGAGGCAGGCAGATCTATGAGTTTGAAGCCAGCAAGCTCTACAGGGATTCTCTGTGTAGCCCTGGCTGTCCATTAAAGGTGTCCATCACCACCTGTCAATAATAATAATTTAAAAAATATGTGTATCAGGGCTGGAGAGATGGTTCAACAGTTAAGAGCACTTGCTGTTCTTACAGAGGACCCAGGATGGGTTCCCAGCAGCAACATGGTGCCTTAAAACTGTCTGTAACTCCAGTTTCAGGAGATTTGATGCTCTCTTATAACCCCTAGAAACACCAGGCACCACGTGGTACACATGAATTCACGCAGGTAAAAAAATGTCATCCAAATAAATTAAAAATATGTATATTAATCCAAAATTGGTGGTGCATGCTGGATCTCAGAAAGTTGAAAGACAACCTGGTCTGCATAGCAAGTTTCAGGTCAGCCAGGGCTATATAATGAGACCCTGTCTCAAAAAAATGTATATCAACCTTTTTGTAAAAGATTTCATATATATAGCTGGAGAGATGGCTCAGCCGTTAAAGGCTAGGCTCACAACCAAAAATATAAGAATGTATATACATGTAAGGATAATATGGATCATATATGTGTGTGCATGTGTGTGTATCAGTGTATTTGATTTTAAAATCATTGAATCCAATTCTGGCCCATACTTTAAAGGCTGAGTGGTTGTGCCTGTCATTATTAGGTTTTCTAGAGTGGTTTGTAAGGAACAGGCTGCTCTACTCTTCTCCTGAGTCAGTGAACTGGATACAAGTAAATGGGTATAAATGAATGTACAAGAGAAAGTCTAATTGTTTAGAAGGAAGAAAATTTGCTAGCTGTATAACAAAATGCTCAGACTCGCCATCTGGAAACTTCCTTTGGGAATAAACAATAAATAATAATAAACAATCATCTCTTCCCTTTGATTTTGCTATCAGCCTGCCATAAGCAGATGGCTTACTCTACCAGGTAATCTTGGGAGGTTTGTAGATACAGAGAGATGCTTCTCAGTGATGAAAATTAAAGTCTCATACAAGGCATTGCTAACACAGAAGCAAATGCTTATGAATATTCCTAGCAGCCCAAGAGGTTGAGTGTCACAAATGTGATTTATTTGGGCAGGTTTAGAGTGGAGTGGTGTGACTCACAGCTTTCAATGACCAATCAGCTATCCTATTTATAATGATACCTTTCTAGAAACTAGAGGAAGGACTATTCTATTTGGAAAACTGAACAGAAATTTTAAAAAAATATTTGCACAGTGAATGTTCATCTGCATCCCTATGGCCATTGAGAACATATGAATTTGTAAGAATGCTGTCTGTTGTTCTATAAGTGAAGACAAGCCAATAGCCAAGAGGTCTTGGAGGTTGGGTGGTTCACATCTTTCTTCCACTGCCTGATTCCTTTTCAGATTCAGGTAGGCAGATGATGCTATTATGATCCTCAAGAAGGTCTAGGAAGGTGTCTTACCATGCAAGCATAAGGATATGTATTCAACACTCAGAATCCCCACAAAAAGCCTGACATGGTCACATGCATTTATAAGCCCACCTTTGTGAAGAGTGGTACAGAAATATGAGGATTTCTAGGGCTTCCTGGCTACAAGTCAGCTCCTGGTTAAGTGAAAAAGGATGTTTCAAGGGACTAAGACAGAATGACAGAGCAGGACACTACATACATGCATACACACACACACACACACACACACACACACACACACACACACACACACACACACACACTACAATTACACAAATCACACATATACACTCACCTATATGATGGCTGTAATCCTAGCACTGGGCAAGTGGAGGCAGGAGCCAGTCTAGCTGAACTAGCAAACTCCAGGTTCAGTGAGAGACCCTGTCTCAAAAAAGTAAGGTCTTGGAGAGCAATTGAGACACCCAATATTGAACCTCTGGCCTGCACATGCACACACATGAATGTATATACACTTTCACACAAGTGCATGTACACACACACACACACACACACACACACACACACACACACACACGAACATGTATGCATACATACACATATAAACAAAAAATTCCCAAAGAAATGAGGTTTCATAATTCTTTGTTAGAATCTCCTTTTTCATCCACCAGTCTCTCTTTTAAGATTTGAATCTGAAATGTTCCCCCAAAGGCTCATGTTTTGAACATTTTTTTCCCCTAGTTGGTAGCATTACTTTGAGAAGATGGACCTTAAGGAAGTGGGGCTTATCTGGAAGAAGCAAATCCCTAGGGCTGGCCTTTTAAAGGTTATATTTGCTCCTAGTTGCAAAAAACAAACAAACAAACAAACAAACAAAAAAACCACAAGGATGCTAAGAATTGAACCAGACCATCTTGAGCAGCCAGCCTTCTCTACTACTAAGCCATCCTCTAACTCCTGCTGCTCTCTACTTCATGGTGCACTGTCGCATATGGAACTCTGGCACATGCCCTGACCACCATCAACTCTGCCTTGCCTTCTCCACCATGAAACCCTCTAAAAACATGAGCAAAAATAAATCCTTCCCCTCTTACATGGTTTCTGTTAGGTAGTATAGTCACACCACACAAAAGTAGCTAATATACTACCATTAGTTAACATACTTGGAAATTTTCTTTTATATCCTTTCTATACAATTGTGTAGGAAAAAAAAAAAAGATAGTAAGTCTGGAGCTGCTATCCTTAGAATGCTGTTTATAGGGTGAGTGCTCGGCTAATAATGGGGAATCCAATCTGAGTTTGGGGAAAGTTCTATCATCCTTTAGCTGGAAAAAAAAAAAAAAAAAAAAAAAAAAAA